TCATCAAACAGCTTCTCAGTTCCACTCAATATTTAGTAAATTAACTGAAACTTAGTGGCTCATTTGTCTTCACTTTGAAACAAAGAACTTAAAAAAAATCCTTGGAAGCAAGGAGATAAAACCAGAATTATGTGGCAAAAAGAGTAAATCAATGTACCTTTCTGAGCATGTCTTATTGAAATCCTCTGATTTCTGGGTGGCAAAGCCATGTGGGCCATCCCAAGCCCAGGCCTAATGCAAATTCCATGTTTAGCCTTAAGCCTAATCTCAGGCTGTTGTGGTTTGATGCTGGCCAAACGTCAGGCACCCACAAAAGTCACTCCCTCACCCTCCCCTGCCACAGCACAGGGAAGAGGAGAGAAAAATGTAATGAAGGCTTCCTTAGTTGAGATAAGGAAGAAAACACTGTGAAAAACACTGTGAAAACACTGAAGAAAACACTGTGAGAAAAACACTCCAAGGGCAAAACAGACACAGCTTAGAAGTACAAAGTGAATGTATTGCTAAAAAAACAGAGAAGGATAATGCGAAGTAAAATAAGCCCATAAAAACACCTTTTTTTCTTCAATCCCTCCCTCCTTCTCACCAACAGTGCAGGGTCTGGGGGTTTGGTCAGTTGATCACATGAGATTTTTTGCTGCTCAGGGAGAGGAGTCCTTCCCCTGCTGTGCTGTGAGGTCCCTCCCACAGGAGAGAGTTCTCCCTGAAATCTATTTCTCCTGAACTTATTACCAATCAAATTTGATTGGTAATGACATAATGACAAAAGATAATGACAAAAACAAATTTTATAAACACCTTATTCCCACCTCTCCCTTCTTCCCTGGCTCAGCTTCACTCCTGATCTTCTCTAGTTCCCTGGCTGCAGCAGTATAGGGAGATGAGGAAAGAACATTGCTGTCAGTCCATCACACCTTGTCTCTGCCACTCCTCTCTCCTCAGGGGAAAGAGTCCTCACTCTCCTGCTCCAGTGCAAGGGACCCCTCGAGCATTGTCCCCCTGCCAAGGGAGACAGTCCTTCAGGAACTTCCCCAGTGTGAATCCTTCCCAATGGCTGCAGTTCTATACAAACTGTCCCAGAGTGGGCCCCTTCCACTTCAGGAACAGACTGCTCCAGATTAGGTCCCTCATGGGCTCACAACCAGCAAACCTGGTCCAGCCTGGGCTCCTCTTTCCACAAGAGTCTGCTGCAGTGTGAGCTTCCCACAGGGTCACAGCATCCTTCAGGCTTGCCCCTGCTCCAGCATGGGCTCCTCCATGGGCTGCAGGAGACCCTCAGCTGCAGTACCTGGAGCACCTCCTGCCCCTCCTTCTGCACCTGGGTGTCTGCAGGGCGGCTCCTCTCACACGTTCTCACTCCTCTTTCCGGCTGCAATCAAGGTTGCTCAGCAACTTTTTCTCCTGCTAAATGCATCACCCCAACATCCCTGATAGGCTCAGCCTTGGCCAGTGATGGGTCCATCACAAAACCAACTGAAATTGACTGTGCTGGACATGGGAGAAGCTTCATCAGCTTCCACAAAAGCCACTGCTGCAGTCTCACTGCTACCAAAACTTGGCCATACAAACCCAGTACAATCCATCATAAAAGCTCCAGTTTTCTTTGGCAAATTGGGTACCCTGTGGAGTGCTATCAGTCAGAGTTGAGTCCCTGCTCATGCTGGCTAAAGAGTATCTCCCCTGAGCTGGATGCACACCTCTACCCTGATGGATCCGGAAATGAAAGACAATTGCAGAACAACAAGGTCTCTGAGAGAGACACTTAAACACTCAAAATAAATACAGATGACAGGACTTACATTGTTTTTGGTAGCTGACAGCACTGCTGCTGTGTTGGCTTATTTGACACAATGCTAGGTTGAGTGACATGAAGAGACTAAAGATTTCTGGCTGAAAATATGAATCTCATCAGGTTATGTGGCTTCTCATTTCATGTCTAAGTCCTTCTTTCCTTCCTTTCCTTTCCTTTTCTTTTCTTTTCTTTTCTTTTCTTTTCTTTTCTTTTCTTTTCTTTTCTTTTCTTTTCTTTTCTTTTCTTTTCTTTTCTTTTCTTTTCTTTTCTTTTCATTTCTTTTCTTTCTTTCCCATTTATAGGCTATGAATTAATGACACATGTACTTGGTTTTGCAGATTCTGACCATTATTTACCATTTATTATTTTTATAGCTCTTTGAGGCATCAGGGTCAAGACTCTTCTTTCACTTACAAACGAGTTTAAGGAATAGTATCTCACCCGCTGATTACATTGAAGGAATTCTAAAAGGAATAATTTCATGCTCAGATTAGAATTTCTATAATTTTTTTTCCAGAAAAGGAAAGTGTGTTGTTTAGTGTTTCATATGTTTCAGCAGGCAGCACCCTAGCTATTTGCAGTTATCATGGATTTAATTTTCCATTTCCATTTATAAGATTATTATTTAATTAAATTGATTCTGCCATTGGCAGGGGACTGAGATGGTTTTGCAGAAACAAGGATACTTGAAGCAGAAAAGTCTTTATCTCACATTTTGATCATTTAGGAGCTTTTGTTTCTCACACCTCCTTGTTCTTTTTTCCCCTCCCTTTTTGCTGACAAGGGAGTTCATCCAATCTTCACCATGACTCTGTTGTGCTTGCCCTAGCATTTGCATTTCAGAGCCACTTATCCCTTGCAAGAAGCTTGTTCCTGGGTACCTTTCCAAGGAAGTTCATGCTGAAGCTATTCTGAGAGCAGCTGGCACTTTTTAGCTTTGGGCTCTGTCAGGCCTTGTCTGTCAGCATCCACCAGGGATGTGCGAATCATCCCTGATGTAATTGTGTTGGTTTCACTTCCAGAACTTTTACAAGTGATTATTGTAAGATGTGGTGTCTGTCACTCATCATATGGTAGGGTAGGGGTGGGTGTAGGACACTTATTAAAAGCAGAGATAGATCTGTCACCAAAATTTCATTACTTGTCCAGTTTCTTTCTGTTAAAAGCTTGGTCTTTTTATACAAATGGTAAAAGCAATGTCTGTCTTTCTTTAATGTACACCTTTTGTTTTACATAAGCACAAATGTAATATTTATTTCTGCTGTATTGGCTTAGATTATTTTTTCTAATATTCCCAGAAGTATGAAGATAAAGAATTTTCTAATTTTCACTAAATTCTAAAGAATTTTCACTTCTAATTATCAGACTAATGAGCAGAAAACTCACTTTCATGCTCCGATATGTTTCTTGTCAGGATGCCACACTGGTGGCTGTGTTCTTTTCCCCCTTGGACTGAGATTGATGAGAGACAGGCTGTTTTCTCTTGTTCGGACTTGGTTGTTTTCTCTTATCTATATTGCATATACACAGGGTACAAGGAGCTATATACACTAAGATAGAGAGGATCACAATGGGTAACAAAGAACTTCTTCAAGGTCTTTTGTATGCCAATTTATCCAATTAACAAATGCCACATTAATTATTTTTCTTAGTGACCCAATGACCCGACACCTGTGTGCTGCACTGCGGCATCCTCCATCCAATCACTTATTACTACCCAAAAATTCCTAGAAGAAGATGAAGAAGGAAGAAGAAGGAAGAAGAGACAACACCCTAAATCCTCCATCTTGTCTTTTGTTTTTTTAAAAGAGCTGAAACCTTAAACTCTAACTTCTTCACCTAGCGACTTAAGAAAACTCTCTAACCTACACACTCACACTCCCAGTTTTTCTATTTAACTTTAACAGCTGTCTCCATGGTGTTATGTGAAATTCAGTGCTTTCTTGGATGTCAGAGCCAGGTATCATAGATAAGGGCACACACTCTGTGCCTCTGACTCCAACAGTTTCTTTCCATACTATTTGGTAGCATAAGATTTTATTCTGTCTTCTGTGTATCTATAAACTAAACTGGAGAAGATACTACAGTACATGATGCTACTAATTTCCATTAAAAAAAAAAGAAAAAAAGATGTCTTTATTTTATTGTTGTTCCATAGGCAATTTTAGAAGTCTCCTTGTAAAAGCAAGGTCCTGCATGTATCTCCACAGATCTGGAACCTCTCTGTCTGTCTGTATTAGACACCTGTGCCAAGAGAGCAGACCTGGCATTCTCCAGTTTTACAGTTAAAAACATTACCTGAGTTCTGCAAGCATGGTTTTTTTTCAGTCACTGCACTGAGGCTGTGCAGAGGAAGTGTGAGTTATTCTGGAGTACAAGATGGCTTTTTTTGAGACTTATTCCTCACTGTTATTTCACCCAGATATAAGGTCAAGCAGGTCCTGAATGTCAAGGTTCACTCAGCAGAAATCCTGTTTTTTCTCCTGGCTCCACCTTCTGTGGAATCCCTCTTCCAGGGCTTCTTTCTGACTCTAGGTTGTTCCTGAACTAGAAGTGTCATAGTGCTCATTCTTCTTGCAGTGTCTCACTGGGTGATAATTTCTTTGGTCGGTAGCATACTTTATTGCTCCGGTCCCAAAACTGCATCAGGATCCCCTTGCATTTTTTCAGCCCCTCTACAGCTCAGAGACTGTGGCCATGTGAAAATATTCTCTCAGCTTTCCAGTGTTCTCAGGTCAACAACTTATAGGCCTACAGAGACATCAGGAAGCCACTTTCCTCCAGGACAAATGCACTGAGGAACATCTAGAGACACCTCTGGGATCTGGCCAGTGCTGCATCCCAGGAGCTGGTGGGGGATGCCGTGAGTGGAATAGCCTGGGATGAGACCCCTGTTTGGGAATATTCTCCCACGGTCCCGTGTTGTTCTATGTACCCCAGTTTCCAAGTTACATCATCCAAGTTATGTCACTCCTTGTCCCCGCCCCAAAAGTTATGGCATTCCTGTTCTCCACCCCAGTTCCAGAATGTTCCCTTCTCCTGTCATCCCTATTGGTCCCTGTTCCCTGTCACTCCGCCCCTGAACCCTAGTTGGCTGTTACCCTTTGACCCTGCCTTCACACTGCCCCTGTGCCCTCAACCCATTGGCCCTCAATCCTGATACTCTGCTCTTCCCTGGTTGTATAAAACCCTGGTCCCTCCTTTGTTCTTGGTTCTTTGTCCCTGGTTCCCTTCAGTGCGAGATTAATAAACTCCACTGGAATACCACACAAAGAAGCCCTCTCATGTCCTTCGTCAACCATCAGATACCAATGCGGTGTGTGAGCATCTGGTGCCTTGAGCTATCTCCTTTCCATGGAGACAAAGCTCTCAGGAAGGTGGTGGTTTCAGCAGCTCCTGCTGCACTGCCACAGGCCAGCATCTGGCTCTGTGAAAACACTCACCTGATGCATCTTCTGAGCACCTCTTGAGCTGCCAGAAAGTCCTACACCTGGCACATGCCATGTCCCTCCTCAGCCCTGGACTCCAAAGGCGGTTCTGGAGAAAGGCTGTGGAGCTGCTGTTGCTCTGGGGAACCCCAGGAGCAAAGATGAGGTCCTACAGTGAAGTGAGTGTCTAATGGGGTCTGACAGCAGCACTTGTGCATTAGTCAGCCACCTGTGATCTAACCTGATGCAAGAGAAGTGGGATAACAGCACATCCCTTATAGAACACCTTCTCTTGTATGTTGGCTTTTCTTTCACATGTTGCATGGAGCCTGTGTACTGTCCAACAGCCTCCCCATGCCAGACCCTGAGCAATTCACTCAAAACCACCTTCACTTTTCCTGTTTCTCTGCAGGCTTTTCTAGATGCTTTGTGGGGCTTTTCTGTCTTTATCATTTTGTGGGCATTTTGTCATGCCATCTTTCCTCCTCTTACCCTCTTCACACAAAAATCCTGTAAAGAAGCTGGTCATGTGTGGTGGTTTTAAAGCATTAGCTAAAAAATCACTAGAAAACTTACTCATTGTTGTGAGATATGGATTAGGAGAAGGGCAAAACAAGCTTAAAATTTAAAAAGGAATAAAGAAAATTTATTAACAAAACTACAAGAATAAGAATCCAGAATAAAACCTCCAGAAACCCCTTTTCCCCACTACCTAACCATTTCCCTTGTTTACATGACAACATAGAGACAAAAAAACCTGGTGGTTAAAACAGTCCCAACTTTGCTATAGTCTTTTCATCAGTCTTTGTAGAGAAAAAGAAGTTTCTTCTGTCCATTTATGGAGTTTTTCACAAGAAAACCATTTTCTTATGGCTTTCTATTTCTCTGATGCCAGCCTCCCGGAAAACACTGTGTCCTGGGGTGACTTCATGATACTGCTATCCCCAGTTGTCTGATTTATGTTATATATTAAGTTCTGCACCTTCAACACTGGCTCTGAGAGCGAAGCGGGAGGGAAAAAGCGCACATTTTGTGTTGAAAGAAAACATCATTCCCACACATCCCGCTCCTGGACTGTGGTGTCTGCAGAACAGACAGACAGCAGGACAGAGCTTCTCTCTGACTTTTAGTTAGTTTTAGGTAGCTGAGGCAGAGGAGTTCCCTGGATTTTTTTCTTCTTTCCCTTTTTTTCCTGGATCTGTGCAAACCTGTTTTAGACTGAACAATACCCAGCCAAACCCCAGGAGCTCATGCCTGTGGCCCACTGGGGCCTGGGCCTTGGCACTTTCCAGCACTGGAGGAACTGATAAGAACCTGAGCAAGCTGAGCTACACCACATGAAAAGGGCTTTTCTTCCTAGATTTGCCATCCCATCAAACAGTGAGCAGTTTTATTGTTTAGTATTATTCAATTTCTATTAAATAAACAGCTTTTTCCACTTCTCTCCAAAGAATTTTTTTTTCCTGGACTAGTTGGGGGGAGGGGTCATTTGAATTTTTTTCCCTGGGGAAACCCCCATTTGTAGTTTTCCTCTCAGATTTGCCCTAAACTAGGACAAATAAAATTCTTGGCGCCCAACTTGGGGCAAGAGAAAGTGGAAAAACCTGTACTGATTACTTAGTGTATTTTGGTTGTACTTTGTATTGGGATAAAGCAGTCAGTAGCCATGTTGTTTGGATACATAATGTCTCTCGGGGGTGGAGGCTTTCATGTGGATCTGGTCCCTAGAATTTTTTGAGGTTTTAATACTTTTTTTTTGCCTCTTTTACAGTAGAGGGGCACAGCTTGGAATGGTTATTGTGCTTGGCTCGGTGATAATGATTTATAGGAAGTTCATAAAACTACTGAAGTTTCTGCCAAGTATGTTTGGCTTATGGTTTCTTTGTCCGACCCTGCCTCCCAGTCCCAGTAGCACATTTTAGGAGTTTATTAGTAATTGCACCCAGTTTGTTAGAAGAAGAGCACGAGATGAATCTTTTCAGTCTTTTCTTTCCTTCTTCTCCTTTTAATCTATTATGTCCCTGTGATAGATTGCCATTTAAGAAAACAAAGAGAAATACCTAAAGAAGTTAAAACTGCTTGGAGGCTGATGGGAGTTTTTCTCCTGGCCAACAGCTGGCCATTTCTAAGAATTGACAGCAGTTTTAACCACTGAAAAGTGAGATCAACCTGTGAACACCACCTTAAGACTTAAGCCTGGGAATTTCTTTGTCTCTTTGTTTCCTAGCTGTGAAAGGTAACAGAGCTTTAGCTGGCTTCCCATCCCCTGCCCAGGCCATGAGGCCCTGGCAGGGGGCTGGGCTGAGCCTGCCGCATCTCCCGGCTGGGAGATGGGGCCTGCAGGGCTTCACCCAGGCCCAGGCCGGGCCAGGCCGGTCCCTGGCTCGGCTGCAGTTTTTGCTGTGTATGAGTTTCACTAGAGACTGCCGAGTAAGAAGAGAGAAAGCCATTGGGCTGAGACAGTGACTACACTTTCCAGAGCAACCATGAAAAAAAATCTTCATCGCAGACAGCTCCAGCTGCTGCTTTGGCAGAGATCACAGAACCATCTACAAAGCCTGGGCAAGATTTTAACTCTTTCACTACCCAGATGAGACTTGCAGATTAATCCTTTTTTTTCCAGAGAGAGAAAGATAGAGAGGGAGCAATCAACATGTAAGGAGACACCAGAAACTATCAAGAACAGTGAAGAAAGGAAATGAGTTTTAAATGAGGAAGAGCTGAAAATTTTTCTGTTAAAGCTATGGAGATGGACACTAGTGTTCTGGAAAAAAACCTCCTTTAATTCATGACAAAGTATAATGGGAGGAATGGAGTGTTTCAAAGTGTGGATTTTAGACAAATGGTGAAGTGGTTGTGATCCTGTAAAATGTTGGAATGGGGGGGGGGCGCGGGTGGGAAGAAGTAATAGTTGAAGATTTTTGGCCTTTAAGAGGCAAAGAGAAAACTTCTGTTTCCAGACAGGCTCACAAAAACAGATGAAGAGAACTTTTGCCTTTGAATAACTCGTCCTTAAAAATAACATCCCTAGACTCATTTGACCCATAACACACCTCAGAGTAAGGTGAAATGGGAGGAGTGAACTGATGACAGGATTTCCAGGCAGCTGGCATCAGAAAAATAGAAAGCTATAACAGAAATAGTTTTCTTGTGAAAAACTCCGTAAGTTAACAGAGGAATACTTCTTTTCCTCTACAAAGACTGATGAAAGGACTATAGCAAGAATTGAGACTGTTTTAACCACCAAAGTTTTTTTGTCTCTATGTTGTCATAGAGCATGGTTGGGTAGTGGGAGAGAAAAGGGTTGTTCTAGAAGTTTTACTCTGGTTTCTTATTCTTGTAGTTTTTTTAATAAACTTTCTTTATTCCTTTTAAGTTTTAAGCCTGTTTTGCTCTTTTTCTAATCCATATCTCACAGCAAGAAATGAGTAAATTTTCTAGTGATCTTTTTAGCTAATGCTGTAAAACTACGACAGTCCCTCTTTGAGAATATCCAGTTTACCCTGAGTGTTAAGGATACCACTTCCCTTGTCACTTTCCTGGTAGTTCAGTGACGCTGCGCTCTACACTTTTCCAAGCCTCGGGCTAGCCCTGGACAACTTGGCCAATGGCAGCGCCAAGAGTGGGGAATGACACAGGAACGACAGTCCACGTGCCGAACCTCCAGAGCTCCCTGCACTCGGGCTCTATAGATCCCAGGCGGGTGTCAGTGAAGGGATGGAGGAGGCTCAGAGTCTCTTTGTCTTCCCAGGAACAGGTTTTATTGAAGGGTAAAGGGAGCAATGACAGGGGAAAAGACTGGGATGGTAAGAAAGGAGAGCAACTGAGCCCCGAACAGCTCCGTGCTTCCAAATTTAAAGAGGGGAGGGTACAAACTGAAAACCAATCAGGACACAACCTGGGAGGAGACGAAGGAGGGGTTTACAATACTTGGGACCAATGAGAGGAAAACATGGGTGGGAAGGTGGTCACAACACCAATGGGGCCTTGATTAGGGGATGAAGGGCATGGAAAATACTGGAACAAAGGGCAGGATTAACAATGACGGACAAGGGCTAGGGGCAGGCTGAGGGTGATAAGCAGGGAAGATTCAGGAACAACGGGAGGGGTTTACTAAATTGACAACTGGGCAAAACCACTATCTGACAGTAACAGGGGGATAACAGGAACATACCATCAAATCAAACAGAATTAACAAACAGAATGCAACAGTTCAGCTGTTAAGCTTCCTCTATACGGTCTAGAACTTCTCTAGAGTGAGGGTTGAGATATCCAGAGGAGCCAATGAGACCCCTGCCCCAAAAGTAGACTCAGGTGTAGGAAATCCTGAGTGGTGTAAAGAATGGAAGAGAATGTGCTGGACTCTGAAGAAATTTTCTGATCCCCCAGCCTAAGAATTTTCACATTAACAAATTCAGAACCCAGAAGAAGCAGGGAACTATCTGAAAGAGAATTGCTATGATGATTCTAAGGAGAAAAATCTCATTGCAGTAAGCTGGGCCCTAGCGTATGCTTATCGCATGCTGCTAGATACTGTAGGGCAGGGAGATAAATCAGCACCTACCCCAGTCACTCAGGCTGCAGCCAAGCCAGCAGCTAAAACAGACAGTGAAACCAAGCCAGGAGCCAAACCAGACAGTGAGCCTAAGCCAGCAGCCAAACCAGACAGTGAGCCTAAGCCGATGTCTGTTGCTCCTACCACAAGAGGCATGAAGTTTAAAACCAAAACCGATTGGCCAGTAGATGGGGGGAAGGACCCTCAAGACCAGCAACTGACCAAATATCAGAAGGCACTGGTGAGCCTTTCTCCCTGAAGGACCTTCGTGGCCTGAGAAAAGATTATACTCGACAACCTGATGGATCTATAATTAGTTAGTTAGTCCATCTGTGAGATGCTGCAAGTGAGGCTACAGTTCTGGATGGTACTGAAGCAAGGCATCTGGGGTCCCTGTCACATGATCCGGTTATCGACCAAGGAATGTCTCTGGGAACAGGTCCTGAGAAGTGTGGCACAAAGATATCTGTGTGCAGACGATCTCTATATACAGCAAACTCGTTAGAAGACCATAGGACAAAAGATTCAGTGCTTGAGAGAAATGGCAATAGTAGAGATTGTCTTTGTGGGTGACTTAGGTACTAGAAATCCAGACTTGGTGCCACGTACATCTGTGATGTGGCGAAAACTTGTTCAACTTGGGCCATAAGAATATGCTTCTGCTTTAGCAACAATGAAGCAGGATGACCGAGAAGAGACTGTGCTGGATATGGCGAAGAAGCTCCAAGCATATGCAGATACTGTGCATGGCCCCATACAGGCAACAATTGCAGCTGTAGGAACATGCATGCTAAACTTCAAAGACAAAATGGAAGAGAATTTCAAGAAACTCAAGGAAGACCTTCCAGTCTCAGCAGTACAAACCAAGAGCCCTGGTACTCAATGCAGAAGTTCTCCAGATAGAGAGAAAAAGCTACAAGCTGAACTGTGGTTCTTCCTGCGGGACTGTAAAGAAAACATGAAAAAATGAGATGGACAATCTACTGCTGCTCTGGCAAAACGGGTGCATGAATTAGAAGACAGCAAAACTCAAAAGAGATATACCACCAAAAAAAAAGCCACTCCAGTAGCCTGTAGTCAAATTGCTAAGTAGGATTATGATGATGACATGTCTGATTCCCTTGAAAGAACCTCCAAGACATATACCCAAAGAAAAAAAAGACAACCAGGCTTAGAGAGGCCCTGCCTCTAGCCAAGTAAAGGCTAGAGAAAACCGTGTCTTTTAGACTGTGTAGATTTGTTGGCCTGGCACATCAGAACCATGAAAATATGAAGCCTTTGTTGATACTGGTGCACAGTGCACATTAATCCCATCAAGACATGTGAGGACAGAATCTGTTTCTATTGCTGGTGTGACAGGGGGATCACAAGATTTTACTTTAGTAGAAGCTGATGTGAGCCTGACTGGAAATGTGTAGAAAAAACACCCTATTGTTTGACTGGCCCAGAAGCCCCATGCATTTTGAGCATAGACTTCCTCCGAAGCTGGTATTTTAAAAACCCAAAGAGATTTAGGTGGGCATTTGAGATAACAGCTGTAAAGACATAAGGTGTCAAGCAATTAAACACCTTTCCTAGACTATCAGAGAACCCATCTGCAGTAAGACTCCTGAAAGTGGAAGAACAGCAAGCACCAATTGCTACCTCAATGGTGCATCACCGGCAATATCAGACGAATCAAAATGTTGTAATTCCCATCCACAAGATGATCCGAGAACTAGAGAGCCAAGGGGTGGTCAGCAAAACCCACTCACCCTTCAACAGCCCCATCTGGCCTGTGCACAAGTTTGATAGAGAATGGAGATTGACTGTGGACTATTGTGCATTGAATGAAGTGACTCTACCTCTGAGTACTGCCATGCCAGTACTCCAGTACGAGCTGGAGTCCAAGGCAGCGAAGTGGTACGGCACTATTGACATTGCCAATGCATTTTTCTCCATTCCCCTGGCAGCAGAATGCAGGCCTCAGTTTATCTTCATGTAGGGGGGAGTGCAGTACACTTAGAACCAACTGCTCCAAAAGTGGAAGCACAGCCCCACCATCTGCCATGGACGGATCCAAGCTGCACTAGAAAAGAGTAAGGCTCCAGAACATCTGCAGTACATTGATGACATCATTGTGTGAAGAAATACGGCTGCAGAAGTCTTTAAAAAAAGAGATAAAACCATCCAGGTTCTCCTGAAAGCCGGTTTCGCCATCAAAAAAACCAAAGTTAAAAGACCTGCTTGAGAGATCCAGTTCCTGGGAGTAAAGTGTCAAGGTGGACTGCGTCAGATTCCCACTGATGTCATCAACAAGATCACAGCAATGTCTCCACTGACCAGCAAGAAAGAAACAAGCTTTTCTAGGTGCCATAAGTTTTTAGCCAAATCAAGCAGGAGATCGCTCATGCAGTAGCCCTCGGCCCAGTCAGAACTGGACCAGATGTGAAGAACGTGCTCTACTCTGCAGCCGGGAACAATGGCTTGTCCTGGAGCCTTTGGGAGAAAGTGCCTGGGGAGACTCGAGGCCGACCACTGGAATTCTGGAGCCGAAGCTACAGAGGGTCCAAAGCCAACTACACTCCCACAGAGAAGGAAATCTTAGCTGCCTATGAAGGAGTTCAAGCTGCCTCAGAAGTGATTGGCACAGAAGCACAACTCCTCCTGGCACCCCGACTACCAGTGCTGGGGTAGATGTTTAAAGCAAAAGTTCCCTCTATCCTACATGCCACCAATTCCATGTGGAGCAAGATTGCCCTCATCACACAGTGCACCCATATTGGAAACCCAAATCGCCCTGAAATTTTAAAAATAATTACAAACTGACTGGAAAGTGAAAACTTTAATCTCACTGATGAAGAAGAGCAGGAAAAAGTGACACAGGCTGAAAAAGCTCCACTGTACAACCAACTGCCAGCAGAAGAAACATGTTGTGCTCTTTACACTGATAATTCCTGTCGCATTGTAAAGATGAACCGGAAGTAGAAAGCAGCTGTATGGAGCCCCACACGACAGGTCGCAGAAGCTGCTGAAAGAAAAGGTAGATCAAGCCAACTTGCTGAACTCAAAGCTGTTCAATTGGCCCTAGACATTGCTGAAAAAGAAAAGTGGCCAAAGCTCTACCTCTACACTAATTCCTAAATGGTAGCCAATGCTCTGTGAAGATGGCTGGAAAAGTGGAAAAAGGCCAATTGGCAGTGCAAAAGAAAGACAATCTAGGCTGCTGATAATTAAAAAGACTTCGCTAACTATGGATGCTAGCTTTGGAGAAGGCTGCAGGGAGCTGCAGAAACTGCAGGCCCATGGCCTCTCAGTCCTGCCTGAGAAGCTAGCCTGGGAATTCAAAGGAGGATTTCAAAACAATCCTCAGAGACAGAAAACAACTGCCAGGTGCTGTTTGTCTGTCCTCTTGTTTTCCCTTGCAGGAGAGAGTCAGGGGGGGAGTGAGCCCCTGACCAATGATGGTAATGTAGCACTTTGCTAACCAATAAGAGTTTCTTTTCTGTACTTTCCACGTATCTGTCTATAAGACAGGCCTGAAGCAATAAACTAGAAGAATTCTCCTGTTGAAACTCCCTTGAGAGTCCAGTGTCGTTCTTTATAGCCGTTCCCAATCGCAGCTAACGATTAGCAACGACAGCTAACCGAGTAAAAAAACTGTCTTTGAAAGTCGATCATCTAGATGCCCATGTCCCCAGGAGTCGGGCTAATGAAAAACACCGAAACAATGAACAAGTGAATCAAGCTGCAAAAGCAGAAGTGTCAAAAATAGACTTAAATTAGCAACACAAGGAAAAATTGTTCCTAACTCGATAAGCCCATAATGCCTCAAGCCATCAAGGTAGAGATGCCACCTCTAAGTGAGCATAAGACCGAGAAGTAGATCTATCCAAGGCAAGCGCTACGTGCTCACAATGGTAGAAGCCACCACTGGATGGTTGGAAACCTACCCTGTGCCTCATGCTACAGCCCGTAACACCATCCTGGGACTCGAAAAGCAGGTCCTTTGGAGGCATGGCACCCCTGAGAGGATTGAGTCAGACAATGGGACTAATTTCAAGAACAGCCTTATAAACACCTGGGCTAGAGAACT